GACTTCAGTTCCTCAATGCATTGTAATGCTTCATCCAGAAGTCTGACACTGAAATATTCATCCAGAAGAGAAATTGTTTTTCTCCTAAGTTCGTCTGGATTCTTTATTGCAGCTGGAGCTACAGGTTTGTCTGTTACTGGTGCAGCAGATGCTGTTGGTGCAGGTCTACTCGGGGCAGGGACTCGTGATCCAGGGCCCACAGCATATTCTCCATATTTAGCAGGACGGAAAGCAGTTGCACCACTACCCTTAGGCAGAAATCGCTGGTTAAGGGATGGTGAATGTATCAATGGTAGTTGGACACGCCCAGCAGGCTGAACTGTTGAACCATCACCTCTTGGCATTGGTTGGGACCTAGGAAATTCGCAGCTATAGAGTCCAGTCATACCAGACATCTTCCTTGTCCCTGGCATTCCAGGCATCATGCCACCTACACCCAGGTGATTATCAGGCAAACCACCAGGCCTAATACTCCCTTGAGCCACAGAAGCAACGTTTCTGTCAGTTCTAAAGTGAGTAGCAGCACCTGGGCGAAACCCAAGATTCTTCTCTGCTTCTGACTGAATCTGAATGATAGTTTTGGATTTCACCTAGAAAATAACAAAACAAAATCATAAAGTTTGCAAGGAAACCTCTTAGAAAGACATTAAATAGGCTAGGAGGGATCACCTCTTCCCGTCTGGGAACCCAATTATTTGAACGCAAATCAAGAACATCACGAATCATAAACCTCAGTCGTAGAGCTAGCTGAGGGTTTGCTGACACTTCCTTCAACCGACCGCAATACATATCGTTAATACGCCTTGATTTTTGGTTCTCATCAAGCTGTTTCCCAATGGTGATAAAGAACTGGCATATGGCTTCAACATTCTCCTCGGCTGGACAACTCTTTGTATCAGGTCCTATGAGTTCCTGTCTTGCAAAACCATGTTGTAAGCCCATCTTAAAAATAATAAAAGACAAATCGAGATATTAGGAAAAGAAAAGGCAGCGGACAGAAAGATCCATCAAGAACCTGAACAATGTGGTGGACAATCTTCTCCGGAACCATCTTTTGCTTCAAAAGCTCTCCAATTAGGCGAATGTTCCCAAGAGTACGGAGTTTGACCAACCTTCCTTTATCTCTCCTTAAAAACTCTTGCTCGGGGGCAGTCATCTGCCTGAGCTCTGCCCGCAAATTGTCAGCGCCTTCAAATGCCTCCTGACAGATATTCAAAAGAACTCTCTTAAATGTGATTTCTTTTCCACCAGGCTCATCAGATGGGAAGGAAGGTAGCTTCTTGTTCAGATCAGAACATAGTTGTGCATACATGGGACAAAATGTTGGCTCCAGTACAGCCTTGTCAAATATCAAAGAGATAACTGCCTACAAGGCAAAAATAACGCAAGTACCAGCATAATTAGGCTACAAGTATATGAAGACATAAAGAAGAAACAAAATCCCAGCATAAAGACACAAGTTTTACAACCTTCAAAATATCAGATGTTGTGATCCCAGATTCAATACGTCGACTCTTGAGAAGATCAAATTTCTTAGGAGTCCGCTTGTTCAGTATGCTACAACAAGAATGTATTGGACAGAATCATATGTTAGCATGGGAAGTATGTCACAAAATCAGAAATAGATATAAAACCAACAGCCATCAATAGCATCTCCACCATCGGATCCTCGCTTGGACATCTGGATAGGAAATTATTACCTTCATTGTGTACAGAAGCTAGACTGTCGCCAGCATATAGTGATAGAGGCTATCATAAACTCATTAACATCAAAAAGAACTTGGATACAAGTCATACAAAAATGGATGTTGGTGGAACTCAATTGCAATAAAATACAGCTATGAAGCACAGACTCTCCTACTAAGGTGGTGAATTCAAGTTGACAAGTATCCAATGTCGACACTGTAGAACACATGGCGCACCGTACTTTTATATACTCCTAAATTTGCAATACTTGAGGGACACTTCTTGAACTCACCTCGGACACTTTTCCACACATCATGTAGCATGTCACAAGGAACATTATCTCCACACAACAAGCCAAAAAAAAGCCACATTTTGTAAATTTTAGAACATAAAATTAGTTAAGTATTTAATTATAAAAAATTAGTGGAAAAAAGAAGACAATAATGTGAGAAAAACATGATGAATTTGTTTTATATCTAATGTATCCATTTTCTTACTCTTTCTGTAGTAATTTATGATATAACCCAAAGTTATCTTAAATCGCTCCTCTGTTTCAATATATTTAAAATGTGCAAAAACCAAAAATAAAAAAGCATTTATCTTTTCACAAAAATATATAAGATATTGTATAAATGTATAATTTTAAAAATTAGAAATCAATATCCCCTGCGTGTCCATGTCTATGCTTCCAAAAATATCATATTGCACATTTAAATATGTTTGAGTTTTATAAGTTGCAACAATAAGAAGTTCATCACAAATCAGAACATCACACATTAAAATGCAGTCTAACACTGAGAAAAATTACTGTTTCACTGTTGTTAAGATACGCTCCTCAGAAAGAGTCCCCCTCCTAGCAGAACAGAGCACCTCTTCCTTGATCAAAGAGGGAGTAGGACCTCCCTGTTTCATAGACAGAAGAAGCTGCTCACTATTGTTAACATTTATAGTAGAATTTGGCATAATAGCACCAAGTTAACTAACATTATTAACACCAGTAATCATCTTCTCTGACATGGCATCATCAGTTGCAAAACTGATCACCTTATTGATCTCAGTTCCCTGAATCTGCAGCATCTCGTCAAGCTGCAAGATTTAAAATGATGAGGAAATATAAACATAGCAAAATTATTTATCCGGAACATATTCACACACAGCATGTCAAGCGGTGTATAACCTCTTCCGCTTGAATTACTGTCCTCGGGAAACCATCAAGAATGAAGCCCTTCTGACAAGAAGGTTTCTTCAAGTCTTCATCAATTAATCCAACATCTACATCATCAAGAACAAGTTTCCCCTAAAAGAAGAAAAGGCATCATTCACAAACTAATCAATCAAAATATTGCAAAATGTGAAGGGGACAGAGCTTTTTCATCAGGTGCTAATATCATAGGAGTAGATTTCTACCTTATCTATAGCTTCTTCATCCCTTTTGGCTACCGGAGTATTAGCTGCAAAAGCAGCTCTCAACATATCACCAGTGGCCAAATGGCACAGACAGTACTCATCGTTGATGATGGGGGACTGAGTACCTCTTCCTAAACCCGATGGCCCTGTCACGAATCAAATTTCCATTTATACAACTACTAATGCAATTAGTCCCATTTTCTTAACCATCACCAAAATCTAATTTTATCTCTTAAGTTTTCAAGCCGGATGGGTAAGTAAACATATACATAATAAACAACGTGCAATGAGACTTTCTAATATTACAAAATACTAATCAGTATACGTTCAGCCATTGGTGATCGTAGAACCTCTCAAAGAATCATTAGAACAAAGGTTTAAAATTCGTAGTAAATGAATAAAATTAACAATAACAAAAGGGACCATAATTTGGAAGTTCAAATTTGTGAAATTTCTGCTCTTGAAAACTATACTCAACTAATGTACTTTAATCGACAATGTCGAGTAATTCAATTTCTTGATCTATATCAATACTCAACTTTAAAAATTTAAGCATAACATAAGGCTGACAGAAGATGTATTAGTAATGCTATTTCTACATCACTGTGTACAATACCAACGAGAATAAGGCGTTTGTCGGACTTTGAAGCACACTTCATGCGGTGAAGAAGTTCAGTCATGATATCCGCTGATGGTATGTCCTTCAAATCCAAGCCTCTGCATCCCATCTTCCTTATATTTTTATGGGTTTTTCCTTTTTCTTCTTCTTCCTTCTTCTTCTTCTTTTTTAACTTCACTCCTCTGTACCCCTTTTCGATTAAGTTGGAATATGTACTTATGTTTGGAGGACAAGTCAAAACGATAGATCACAGTCACTTCCAACTCCCAAAAGTTTCTGTTCCCCATAAATATCAGTGTTACATCGTCCGACTCTTTCCAAAAGCTACATAGTCACTGTATTTTTATTTTATTATAAATACGAAAAATTGAATTTTTTTTGTTTTCTTTTTGAAGTTTGGAACTTTAAAGTGAAAAAGTGACTTGATCCTTTGCCCTTGTCATTAAGCCCATCTAGTTGTGATTGATAATGAATTTTAAGAAATGAAGGTAAAAAAACCATCCATGAGAAGAAACCTCACTAACTAATTAACGATTGTGCTCATATGCATTACCACTGACAGATTAATATACATATACATGATTTAATGAAATATCATTGAATCGAAATTTCTTCAACCAAAAAATAAAAAATAAAAAAAAACCTCAATTCTCTTCCTCACATTTCATCTACTGGTTTAACTTTCTGTATCTCCTTACGTAGAAGTAACATTATTCATTAATCGAAAGTTATAAGTTTTGATTTGTTAAAAAATATAATATTGGGGATGAAATTGCAATTACGGTAGCTGCAAACCATCTTCACAAACTGCAGCAGCAGCTATGCCCAAACTAGTAAAGGTTGGAAAGCAAAACATGCATAATTACTCCCACGAGAAAATGACTAGAGATTGATACAAAAATTAACTCAACATAGCAATCTCCTTTAAAATTGTGCACACTCGTATTATGAGTGTTTATACTTCTGTCAAAACTTCAATTAAAAGACGACAAATTAAGAAAATAAAATCTAATCAATACAGAACAACATGGTCCATCTCTCCAGCAACTATGGCCTGTGATTAGCCACACTCGCAAAGCAAAATCTTTACGTCGTCATATATATTCGAATAGCACACTAATATGACCTCATTATACAGAGTCCACCAAATAGCACCTGTTCTTCAAGCTCATATCCTCGATGCTTTTACCACAATCACTAAGGCATGGATGGGAGTAACGAGAAGACATAGTAATTGAAGAGGGCACATTTCATCAAGATTACAGACGACTCCTGTAATGAGTAGACCCTAAAATAGGCTTTCACAGGCCTCAATACCGGATGCCTGCGAATCTAGCACCCCCTTTCCAGTAGGATCAGAGCTAACAATCCTCATTATAGAGGCAAATATGGCTTTCTGGAAAAAGTCGTCACCCACTTTTTCCAGAATCTCCCTCCCCAACTTGAAGTTGAGCCCACCAGCCAAGACTAGTTTCCCAACTATCTCACCAAAATTGGCAGGTGCTTTAGGTAAATCAATTGCAAGATCATCCAAAAGTGAGGCATAAAGGAGGCATCCAGTGACCAAGTCATTAGCAGTAATAACTTTCTTAGCAAACAAGTACTCTAGAAGCTTTGCAACTGGCTCTACACAAGGTGGACTTTTCTCCAACCCAAGGGAAATGGACTCCTTGATAATTTCAGGATGATAAGCAGGGGACTTCAGTTCCTCAATGCATTGTAATGCTTCATCCAAAAGTCTGACACTAAAATACTCATCCAGAAGAGAAATCGTTTTTCTCCTAAGTTCGTTAGGATTCTTTATTGCAGCCTGAGCTGCATGTTTGTCAGTTACTGGAGCAGCAGATGCTGTTGGTGCGGGTCTACTTAGGGCAGAGACTTGTGATCCAGGGCCCACAGCATATTCTCCATATTTAGCAGGACGAACGGGAGGTGCGCCAGTACCCTGTAAGAGGGAACTAGACCTATTACTCATGAAACCACCACTACCCTGAGGCAGAAATTGCTGGTTCAGGGATGGTGACTGTATCAACGGTGTTTGGACACGTCCAGCAGGCTGAACTGTTGAACCATCACCTCTTGGCATTGATCGGGACCTAGGAACTTCCCAGCTGTCATTATCAAGTCCAGGCATACCAGGCATCTTCCTTGTCCCTGGCATTCCAGGCATCATGCCACCTGCACCAGGGCGATTAATAGGAAAGCCACCAGAACTAATACTCCCTTGAGCCCCAGAAGCAATGTTTCTGTTATTTCTAATGCTAGCAGTAGCACCTGGGCGCAACCCAAGATTTTTCTCTGCTTCCGAGTGAATCTCAGTGATAGTTTTGGCTGTCACCTGGAAAATCACAAAACAACATCATAAAGTTTGCAAGGAAAGCCTCGTAGAAAGACATTAAATAGGCTAGGAGGGATCACCTCTTCCCGTCTGGGAACCCAATTATTTGAACGCAAATCAAGAACATTGCGAATCATAAACCTCAGTCGTGGAGCTAGCTGAGGGTTTGCTGACACTTCCTTCAACCGACCGAAATACATATCGTTAATGCGCCTTGATTTTTGGTTCTCATCAAGCTGTTTCCCAATGGTGATAAAGAACTGGCATATGGCTTCAACATTCTCCTCGGCTGGACAACTCTTCGTATCAGGTCCTATGAGTTCCTGTCTTGCACAACCATGTTGTAAGACCATCTTAAAAATAATAAAAGACAAATCAAGATATTAGGAAAAGAAAAAGCAGCGGACAAAAAGATCCATCAAGAACCTGAACAATGTGGTGGACAATCTTCTCCGGAACCATCTTTTGCTTCAAAAGCTCTCCAATTAGGCGAATATTCCCAAGAGTACGGAGTTTGACCAACCTTTCTTTATCTCTCCTTCCCAACTCTTGCTCGGGGGCAGTCATCTGCCTGAGCTCTGCCCGCAAATTGTCAGCGCCTTCAAATGCCTCCTGGCAGATATTCAAAAGAACTCTCTTAAATGTGATTTCTTTTCCACCAGGCTCATCAGATGGGAAGGGAGGTAGCTTCTCATTCAGACCAGAACATAGTTGTGCATACATGGTACAAAATGTTGGCTCCAGTACAGCCTTGTCAAATATCAAAGAGATAACTCCCTGAACAAAAATAAAACACAAGTACCACCATAATTAGGTGACAAGTAAATCAAGACAAAGGATCACATATAATTAGGAAGTTTTACAAACCTTCAAAATATCAGCCGTTGTGATCCCAGATTCAATAAGTTGACCCTTGAGAAGATCAAATTTCTCAGGTGTCAGCTTGTTCAGTATGCTGCAACAAGAATGTATTGATCAGCATTACATGTTTTACATAAAAAGTACATCATGAAGTAATGATAAAACTAGAATAACAGATACTACCTCCATTTCATAAAGATATGCTTGTTTCTATTTTCACACACACTAAGAAAATATAATTAATATAGTTGGAAATATAAATTTTTGTTACGCTTTTCCTATTATACCCCTACATTAAATAATTGTTTAAATAGGATTAATTTATATTCATTAATAACAAGGTTAAATAGAGACCTAGAAAACTAAAAACCATATATGCTTTCAATAAAAAAAGTAGCCTATAATTTGGGGCAGAGGAAAAAAGAAATCAAGCCTTTCTTTATGGACGGAGGTACTACAAAACAAACATCCATTTATATCGTATTCACTATGGGATCTTAGCTTGGACATCTGAACAGGAAATAATTGTCTTCATTGTATTAGCAAAAGCTAAAGCGTCACTATTCATAGTACTAGACGAAGATCATAAACTTTTTGTCATCTAAAGAATTTGGATATAATAAAAATGGTTGCTGGTGGTACTCAAATCACAATAATAGCAGTGCCAAGCAAAAATAAAAGAAACATACAGGTTGACAATTGAAGACTTGAACTAGGAAATGAAGTATCAATTGATCATTCAAATATGTTTTTAGTTCAATAAATTAGCCACAAGAGAAGTTAATCAGATATTGAATGTTTACATAGAAAATTACCCCTTCACCGTTTTCAAGACACGCTCCTCCTCAGAAAGAGCCCCCCTCCGAGCCGACCATGGAACCTCGGCCTTGATTAAAGGAGTAGGTCCTCCCTGTTTTATAGACGAAGAAGTTACTCACTATTATCTTAACAGCAAGTTAAATGATAGTTGGCACAGTAACATTCAACGTAACAAAATTTAATGTCATAAAGCATGTAATCAGATAATATCATATAGTACATTTTTACCTTCTTCTTCGAGCAACTTTATCGACAGCACAATTAAATCACACACCCAACAATTCTAAGAAGTAAGAATAATCATTCTTATCAACCATATAAATCTCCTTCAGAGAAATCATGCATGAACTTGAATAATATTAATGAAGTAATTTCATTATTAAAACGTGTTTGACAGAGTGAAGTTTTAAGCCTAAATACAGCTGTCATGCTTTCTACATGTGACGCAGAACAACTTCGGGTTCAACCAACAAAACCAAGAGAAAGAAATATAATGGCCATTTTTGAGATAATGAACAGTATCCAGTGTTTGATTAAAAATTTATTGGCTAGATATTTCAATTGTGTCAAGGACCAAAAAAATAAATTTGAAGGTCAAGAAACAATTCTCTATTATTGTAATAACAAAAATAAAAGATGAGAATTAGAAAAATAAATAAATGGTCAAAGCATCACCCCAAGGGTTAGAATGCATGAGGCAGATCAAGGAAAAACAAAATTGCTAGAAATTGCAGAATACTTCTCTCTGTCTACACTTGGAAATATTACAATTCTTTATAGAGAGTCCAAGGACTCAAGAGAATTCTAATTCTAATAGCACATAAATAATCTAGTTAACTAGTACTAATGACATTAAAAAAAAATTACATGACCATTTTGTATATACAAAACAATACCAAATTTAAGTATATTGCATATTTCCTGAGATCACAAAAAAAGAGCCATGAACTAGAAATACTTGAAAAAACACTCAAGTCTAAATAGAAAAAGGCTGTTAACATGGACTCAATTAATGTGCCATGCAGTTGTAAAATAATTTATACAGTTCTCTTGAATTAGTCTTGGACTGGTACGAACGGTCAAGTATTGCTTCTGGTAATCCTACACTTCCAGACTACTAGTTCACTAATTTCCCAGTAAGAATAGTTGTTTCATTTCGATTTAGTAAGGTTTAGAGTCTGTATAGCTTCAATGTCCTTTCAATTACAGTGGAGCAGTACTTCAAAAATTCTCACATATTTAAAGCACTTCATCAGATTAGGCCCTTGTTTGGTCCACATTAATATTTTCATTCTCATTCTTCTACTCATTTTCAACCACGCATTCTTCAATAAAATAATATTTTCTATCACACCAATAATTTTTCCTTTTTCTTCAACCACATATTCCACATCCATCACATCAACAAAATGCATTCTTCTACCCAAAATGTGCACCAAACAGGGGCTAGCTAACCTTGTTTGATGGCCAGATTTATTGATCATCTCTTCTTTGGTTTTCAGCCGCTATACAGCTATGCAGTTCTCAAGGTCAATATCACTAGACTCCTAGGTTCCTAATTGAAAGGTGGATCAATTATTCCTTGAACCCACAACTCTAGGGGACCCAAAAATGCCTATTTCCACTGTCTACAAATTTCACCTTTCAGACAAATCAGTGGCACCAATCACTTATACATAAATTGTCTAAATGATTTGGAAGTTATAATGACTTGACTGTCCAAGATCCTTCACCTAGTAACATAATGATAGATGTCTATGGCACATCTTGACACTTTAATTATTAACAGAGCAAATTTAAAGATTCAAGTAAAGCAAGTTTAGATAATTAAACAACGTACAATAAGAGCATTCCTGGAAAGCAATTTAGGCAAGAAAGTGATAGCGATAAACAACAGTGCATAAGGTTCACAAAAGCAGCCAGAAAAGCACAATCAAGCCGTTTGGTTGAAATCTCATTTAGGATTCTTAAAACAATTTTCACCAAAAAGGCGACGTAGCTTAACAAATAAGCATGTAGATGTAAACATGACCTCCAAATAAAAGAACAAAAACGAGAATACACAAGAAACTCTAGATGCATATTTAACAGTAGAAAATGAATTACCCCTAGGTTGGAAGAGATTTGTGTTCTTGCAAACTGCGAGCTTAGTTGTTCTTGCCTATGGTGTTGGTTTATATCTTGTTGTCTCTCCCAGGATTTCTCCTCTGCAGGAGCAAGAAATTGTGCAGACCGATTACGCCAGTCACGGTTGTCCGGCTGAGAATAACGATTCTGGCCCTGATTTTGAAGCTAAACAAAGGGAAAACGACCAAATGTTTGAGTATCCAAGAAGTGTGATAATGAAAAGAAAATAGAAATTCAGATTAATTAAAATAATGAATTGACCTTTATCAACTCGTATAAAATTCCAACCCATACATCAACAGGCAAGCCAAATAAAATGCAAACATAATCCCAAAAGAAAAGAGAAAAAAAAAACACAAACACAAACATTATAAAACAGTTACATAAAAATAGGAAAGAGTGGCGTGTCGGTAAAGTTGAGAAAGACACTCACATTGCTCTCTCCACGAGCCCAGCTTGGATCTTCACCGAAAAATTCAGTATCCACTTCCTGTTTGGCCTTCAGAATGTCCTCTGGGATGATGGCCATCTATGGAAAAATAAACAGTCTTATCAGACCTATTAAAGAGGAAAATGAAGAATAATAAATCCTTATGAGTCTCCCACGTAAAGTGGAGAGTATGAACAAAATACTTGGTCAAGCAAATGGCAGCCTGCAGTTTTAGTAATTAATAAAGGGATACCATAAGCACAGTTCTTCAAACATCAAGAAGCATCATTACCTCCCTTAACTGTAACAGCTGGTCTCTGGTGTAGCAAATCCGATCCAAGCCATGAAATCGGGATTCTCCAGTCTACAATATTCCAGCAAAGATACAAATTACTCCCATATATCAATCATCAAGCAAAAAGGTAACACAAAAATAGATTGCTATCCTAAACATTGAGGATTTTGAGTTGCAAACAAAAAAATTTAATACGGCGCACATGAACTTTATTAAGATTGGAGTGAAGATATATGAAGTTATATGATGAGGTTGGACGAAATGGAAAAGCATGGTGCAATTAGTTAAAACCATCAACAACCAGGTCTTGAATGAATTCGCTTAAAAATCCACAAGTGATACTGAAATGCTGGAAGCCCAAAGACTCAGGATGATAATATAACAAAAGTCGATCAAACATCAAGGGCAACGCGCAAAAAAAAAAAAAAATATTGCCCAATTAAAGATCATAATTATGACCGCTGTCAGTATACAAGTTGTACACTAGAGTTGCAGGACGTGTAACTAGCTAATTAAGATGTTCTACCTTATTTATCATAACACGTGGCTATCTAGGAAATCCCACCCATTTATGCATGTCAAGCACGTTAATGTAATGAGAAGCAAAGCTCCCAGCACAGTTTCCATAATTTTTTAGATTCCTTTGAGGGCATCCTGACACTCCTTGCATGCCCACAGAAAGCCTACGTGTTACTTTATGTCCATATATACAGAAACTACACATCTTATGTGCAATGCCAAGAATTAGGACATCGACATTAAACAAATCCCACAAAAACCCCTAGTTTCGGTGCTAGAAACTAAGAAATCATTGTAAAGATTGGAAACAAAAAGAAAACAAATTTGAACGTTTTCATCTAGAAAACTGAGATGATAAATGTTATTTAAATTGCCGCTAGAGATGATATGTTTCCTTTAGTAATAGGGGAGGTTTTTAACTTGAAGTTGAACAAATAGAATATTGGTCAGGGCATTATTGATACTGGAATTCACATATTCCGCCAAAATTACCAAGCATCAAACAGAACACACAAAGGTGAAGCTGAATTTAGTGAAAATTTAAGATTCATCAAGAACTTGCAAATGATAGAATTCCATCTTTAAAAAAAGTTACCTTTAAATATTTTTCATAAATATTGAGAACTCGACAAGTTTTAAGCTTGAGTTCCAAACAGGAAAGAAAGAATTATACACAGATTGGAAGCTTTTAAAAGCTCATTACCATATAAACAAACATGTACGTATGAACTCACGTACACATATATCAGAAAACTATCGACAGGAAGATTGATGGATCCAAATTTGAATCTTTTTTAATATATAATAAAAAGCACCCACTATTAAAACAATCAATTAATAAATCGTAAAGAAACGTAAGTAGGATACAATCGGATAAAAAACCCTAGATCTGAAGAAATAAGTGAAATAAAAAAAAAATAATAATAACCTTGAAGAAAGAGAATGAAGAAGCACCACCGCCATGGGGACGCAGCAACACCGGTAGATCAGTACTCGCCTCCGAGGATGGATCGAAGCGATGGCCCGGAAATCTGGTTCCACCACGGCTCCCACCTCCTGGTCTCAAGCTCAATACTGTTTGGTCAGCCTGCATACCTTGCAATCAAAAAAATTCGTCCAATCAAGAAGCTCTGTAACAACAATTCAAGAAATCTATATATATAAGAAATATATATAGATATAGATTCTTTTTCTTTCTATATAGAGAGACAGAATTGAGATAAAATGGTGAGAGAGAGTATAATTTTCTCCCTCTACTGTGAGAAGGAGGAAAGAAAAGGAACGAGGTGTAATGTGAGGCCACAGGAGAGAGAGAAACCCTTTTCTGGTTAGGGGGTTGGGCTGCAAATTTTGGGAATTACTATATGCATTTTATTTTCAATGAAGGTCCTTCATTTCTATTTATTATAACACTTAATCCTAAATATTTTTTCGTACTTTAAAATTGAGGAAAAATATTTTCCTGCACTTTTTTATTTAGTTAAATATATAAGGAATAGATAGGTCTTTTCATAACACTATATGCATTTTATTTTCATTGAAGGTCCTTCGTATCATTCTAATGAACTTTTTGGACAAAAAATATTATCGCAATATATATTTATTTATGAAAGATTGAAAATAAGATTTCGATGCAAAAAGTTAGGAATATGAGATGATAATAATTAAAGATTAAGGACTTTAATGCAGATAAAAAAATTATGGTGCCAATATGATTAACCCTCTATTTACATTGTTTTCCTTTGTGATTGTATTTAATTTACAATTTTGTCCTTGTGTTTGTATATATTGAAATATTCATCCTCTTTTGATTAATTTATAAATGATATTTTCAGTCGTACGGTTCAATATACACGAATACTGTCAATTTAGCCCTCGTTAGGGCTCCCTTTTTTTAACAAAAAATAAGTTTTATGATAGTGATTTTTTAAATAATGCATAGTTAAAAAGTAAAAAAAAAAAATAGATTTACATGCAAATTATTTTATTGATAGAATATGTGATTGAAAATTAATTCGAGGAAAAATGAGTTTTTAGATAATTGAGATCAAAGAGGACTTATTCACCACTTCATTTTCTATCTCATTTGACTAACATAGTTTTCATGGTGCATCAAAGGTTTGACATAGGAATTTATTATTGAATATTCTCTTTTTATTTTTCGATTTGAACGTGGTAAATTTCATTTATTGTCATTGAATTGGATCGTTAACTTTTAATTTGTCTCAATTAAGTTCCTAAACTTCAAATTTAGTTTCAAACTTCATTAATCTTTCAACTATTATCTATAAATTGAAAGAGTCGCTTAATTATGACTAGAACGAATCTTACAAGTTACCATGATATAACACGACATTTTACGATTATGTTAGTGCTGCATATTATATATTCAATGAAGTTAGCTAAATGAACTTTATTTAACAAAATGATTGGTTATTTTTAAGATTATGCTAACATTGCATATTATATATTCAATGAAGTTAGCAAAATGAACTTTATTTAACAAAATGTATTTACCTAATACAGTTAAACACAAACTTTAAATAAAGAAAAATGAACAAATACTAAAATATTTGACTCCTCATGACATTATAATTTATAAATGAAAACCAAAGGAAATATATATATTGAACAAAAGAATATTTATAGTTTTTCTGTATTATAGTCAGGAATATCAATCAGAGGACTTGATCTTGGACCTGTAGATGAGCTTCTTCTTCTTTGAAGTTTGATTATCTAGTGCGAGCACAATCTTCCTAGAGTCATGAGATTTGAAGCTACACAGTGCGGAGCATTATCGTGCAGAGCAAACCAATTTTTTTTTTCCCGACAAAAAGTCAACAATTGTATAGCATATAAATTGATTAAAAAATGATTTTTTCAAATTACCCTTAACTCACGTGTGGATAGTGAAAATCGTGAAATATATATATCACTGTTTTTTTACAATAAATAAATTATATGCTGCATATATAAATACTAGAATAAATATTCCATGACATATTTGATAATTAAGAGTAAGAAAGAAAGAAAGAGGTTAAAATAGTATTAGTTGTTCATTATCCAATGTCGAGTTAGTAACTAGAAACCCCGTGTTCAATTCCAAACTCAAATCTAGGTAAATCTCGTGATCTTCCTTTTAAGTACTCATGGTTTGTCCCATTCTCGTGTGTTTGCTGGTGACTTCGAGTTTTCATTGCTACATTCTTATTGATAGATGCATCATCAGAATATCACTATTATAAATTCACTGCATCTTCATAATAACACGAGAACTGCACAAACTCTTCTCATCAGTTTAATAGCAGACTACTTGCTCAAAACTCACGAACACATTGAAAGATACATTTTGCTATGGAAATATGATAAGGGATTTTGAACATCATAATTAACTAATATAGTTTGGGCTTTAAATCAATGTTTCTATTTTGATTATCGCTTTTTTTGTCCCATTATACATATGTAAATCTTGTGGTTTTGTGCTCTTCTAAGTGATTTTTGAATTATATCACCCTCGTCCAATATTTAATGTGATAAGAACTAATATATGTGCAAGTAACATGTCAAAACATTGTCTGGATACTTGGAACAAAACGTTGTTTTCTATTATTTATGCTTCCTAGTGTAGAGTCAACTTGATGAACCCCTTTTCTTCCTTGTCTGACATATAAATTCATCAGTCGCTTTATGAATACGTGTCAACATTGACAACGAACCCAAGTTGATATTATTGGGAACCATGGTCGAGAAGTCGCCAGATTCATTCACAAAAAAATTATTTTGTCCATATTTTTATACTTTTTAAATACAAATAAGTTAAAATGTATAATTTATTATTTTCTTAACCTTTGTTTTGTTCCTAATAGAATTTCCGATACTACTTATAGCACTTTCAACATCGGTAGCTAAAAATTCTAACGCAACTATTAATTTTGGTGCAAATGAGTTCCAAATAAAAGATAACACTATTGTCTTTTACGAGTCAAAATTTTCAATATTCAATATTGTCCTTATTAAACTCATTCATTAAAATACTATACATAAATTTTATATATTCATCACACTTTAAATACATCCCTTACACTTAGGGATGGCAATGGGCAGAGCCGGGCTCGGCCCGTATGCCCACGAGCTCGGCTTGTGCTCGTGGCTCGTTCTCGGCTCGTTACTCATGGGTCGAGCTCGACTCGGCCATGAGCTCGTGGGTCGACTCGCGAGCTCATTAAATTTTTTTTATTTTATTTTTTAAGATATACATTTCTTCTTAAAAAAAATCTTTCACAAAGACGAGCCTAAGAGCAACTCGTCCGTGGGCGAGTGAGGCTGCTCGGCTCGGGCTCGTCGAGCGGCTCGTGACTCGTTTTTTCACGAACCGACGAGCTGCTCGATTCAATTGACACCACTACTTACTAGGGGTGGGCGTGGGTTAGGTTGGGTAGGTTTTTGCCCAAACCCAAACCCAAACCCAACCCAACATTGTCGGTTTGTTCGAAATCCAACCCAACTCAACCCAACCCAATTATGTGTCGATCGGGTTGGATTGGGTTGGGTTGGTCGGTTTGAATCATAAATTCCAATTTTTTCGACACATGTTGGAATTAAATAAATTGAGATCCNGAGACTAGAGACACGGCATCATAGCTAATATAGCAAGGACATTAAAAAAATATGAAGAGAACATGGGTAGTGGGACGTAATTGAAAATCGACATTTTTGAAATATGTGGTTGAAAAGTTGTGGACCTATGAAAGAGGTGATTAATATTGATTATTTGACTTTGATTTAGATTAAAATTAGATTTTAATCCGAACCAAACATAGACATAATTTTTCCCACATAATAATTGTCAAACAAAAAAGCGAAGACAATTTGACGTAATTTTTTTTTTATGTGAATATACCAGTTGATTGCAAAATTTGAAAATATTTGTCGTATTTGATAAATAAAATTGTAAGATAACAACCTTAGCGCCATGAACGAACTAATAGAGTGACTGACGATTGACAAATAAAAATTAGACTACCCAATTGCGAATTCTTGAAAGTTAAGTGACCAAAGAATAATATTACATAAAACCTACCTCATCTCTTTTAACTCTTCTGTATGAATTCAAGAACACAGTCAACTAAGGTATTCGACAATTTGCATATTCTATCAAATAATACACAAGCTACGTGTAATAAAATCCCTTCAAAAACTTGATATAACATTACACTCTCTCCTCTCCCAGGCTCACACCTCTTGCCCACAAGTCACCACCGCTTAAATCCTGATAATAACCACCGTTGCCCAAAAGAGCCACCTCATGAAGTTTTGTTAGATTCTTATCAAGAAACTGGTCTAGAATCTTCTCATTTTTTTCTTAAAAGCATGTATATATACAAGCCACTTTAAGAGAGTGTTCATTATTCAGAAATTTCATAGCAAACAGTGAAAACAGAACCCCGCTTTCTTGAATTCTACTTCGATGGCGACAAAAGAGAACAAGGCTATAGGCATAGACCTTGGCACTACTTACAGTTGTGTTGGGGTGTGGCTAAATGACCGTGTAGAGATAATTTCAAATGATCAAGGCAATCGAACCACTCCTTCTTATGTTGCCTTCACTGATACTGAGCGGTTGATTGGAGATGCGGCTAAGAATCAGGTGGCTATGAATCCCCACAACACTGTTTTCGATGCTAAAAGGCTCATCGGCAGGCGACTTTCAGACCCTTCTGTCCAAAGTGACATGAAGTTATGGCCGTTCAGAGTTGTAGCTGGTCCAGGAGATAAACCCATGATCGTGGTGACTTACAAAGGCGAGCAGAAGCAGTTTTCAGCAGAAGAAATTTCTTCAATGGTGCTGACAAAAATGAGGGAGATTGCTGAATCTTTCTTGGGTTATCCAATAAAGAATGCTGTTATTACTGTGCCTGCATATTTCAATGATTCTCAGAGGCAGGCAACGAAAGATGCCGGTGCGATTGCTGTACTGAATGTGTTGAGGATTATTAATGAGCCTACTGCTGCGGCCATAGCATATGGCTTGGATAAGAAAGCTTCTAGAAGAGGTGAGCAGAATGTACTTGTTTTTGATTTGGGTGGTGGGACTTTTGATGTTTCTTTGTTAACTATTGAAGAAGGGATTTTTGAAGTGAAAGCCACTGCTGGAGATACCCATTTGGGGGGTGAAGATTTTGACAATAGGCTTGTGAATCATTTTGTATCTGAGTTTAGGAGGAAGCATAAGAAAGATATAAGTGGAAATGCTAGGGCTTTGAGGAGATTGAGAACTGCTTGTGAAAGGGCTAAAAGAACTTTATCATCAACAACACAGACAACAATTGAGGTTGATTCTTTGTATGAAGGGATAGATTTTTATGCAACTATAACAAGGGCAAGATTTGAGGAATTGTGTATGGATTTATTTATGAAATGTATGGAGCCAGTGGAGAAGTGTTTGAGGGATTCAAAGATAGATAAATCACAGGTTCATGAGGTGGTGCTAGTTGGTGGATCAACTAGGATTCCAAAAGTTCAGCAACTTTTGCAGGACCTTTTCAATGGGAAAGAGCTTTGCAGGAGCATAAACCCCGACGAGGCGGTGGCTTATGGCGCCGCGGTGCAGGCAGCTATTTTGACTGGTGAAGGTGATGAGAAGGTGCAAGACTTGCTTTTACTTGATGTTACCCCTTTGAGTCTTGGCCTTGAGACTGCAGGTGGAGTCATGACTACTTTGATTCCAAGAAACACGACGATCCCGACGAAAAAAGAGCAGATTTTCTCGACTTACTCCGATGATCAGCCTGGCGTGCTTATCCAAGTGTATGAAGGAGAAAGAGCAAGGACTAGAGATAACAATCTTCTTGGGAAGTTTGAGCTCACAGGCATCCCTCCTGCACCTAGAGGGGTACCACAGATCAATGTGACCTTTGACATTGACGCCAATGGCATACTGAATGTCATGGCCGAGGACAAAACCGCTGGTGTGAAGAACAAGATAACGATCACGAATGATAAGGGACGATTGAGCAAGGATGATATTGAGAAAATGGTGCAAGATGCTGAGAGGTACAAGGCAGAGGATGAGGAAGTGAAGAAGAAGGTGGAGGCGAAGAATGCCTTAGAGAATTACGCGTATAATATGAGGAACACCGTCAAGGACGAGAAGTTCGCGAGCAAGTTGGATCCATCTGAGAAACAGAAGATTGAAAGTGCTGTGGAGGAGACAATTGAGTGGCTGGATAGGAATCAGTTGGCTGAAGTTGATGAGCTTGAGGGCAAGTTGAAGGAATTGGAAGGAATTTGTAATCCAATTATTTCAAATATGTATCAGGGAGGCGGTGGTGCTCCAATGGGTGATGAGATGCCTAGTGGTGGTTCAGGCGCCTCCGGTGGTGGCGCTGGGCCGAAGATTGAAGAGGTTGACTAAATGACTTGGAAATTAGGAGATTAGGATCTGATTTTGGTTCATGTTTGTTGTAGTACTTTTGCCCCTTATGTCCTTTCTTCTTTCATTCTTCTAGTTTTTGGTCATGTAAAATGATGTATGTAAAAAGGGTTGTATTTCCATAATGAAAGTTCTTTGATGTAATGCTTATGAATATTTAATAAAAGTAAGCTTCACATGGGCACTTTTATTGCAAATTTCTTACTTCTATGTTAGCGACAACTCGCAATTACTTTTTTTTTTTTACATTTAAGTGAATTTCTACTCTACGTGTGTGATTTTCATTATATAGAGTCAAATAATTTTACCCTACGCCATTTTGCGATTGCGCTCGAACCCCATGCAGATTCCTTTTTTTATGTTTTTAAACTTAAATAGTATAATGAATGAATAAATAAGATTTTCTCAATGATTTTTTTTTTTTTTAAAGAATTTTGCTGAACGATATCTATTGAGCCTCGTTTTTTTAGAATGGATTTCGTGATGGAAGATCGGAACATGATAGAGAGGAGCATTGGAGAGGACTTCATCTAGATTTATATCTAATGGATCAAAACTCGTGCTTATGTTATCACTCTTATTTACGAGTCCTTATGCGCCTCTCTTTCTTAAGCTGGGAAATTGAAAAAAATAATTTTTTTTTTGAAAATATATATTTAGAAAGAAAATAAAAAAATTTACGTATGAAATCACAGTATTAAGAGAATTTTCAGTGAATTTCTACTCTACGTGTGTGATTTTCATTATATAGAGTCAAATAATTTTACCCTACGCCATTTTGCAATTGCGCTCGAACCCCATGCAGATTCCTTTTTTTATGTTTTTAAACTTAAATAGTATCATGAATGAATAAATAAGATTTTCTCAATTATTTTTTTTTAAAAAGAATTTTGCTGAACGATATCTATTGAGCCTCGTTTTTTTAGAATGGATTTCGTGATGGAAGATCGGAACATGATAGAGAGGAGCATTGGAGAGGACTTCATCTAGATTTATATCTAATGGATCAAAACTCGTGCTTATGTTATCACTCTTATTTACGAGTCCTTATGCGCCTCTCTTTCTTAAGCTGGGAAATTGAAAAAAATAATTTTTTTTTTGAAAATATATATTTAGAAAGAAAATAAAAAAATTTACGTATGAAATCACAGTATTAAGAGAATTTTCAGTGAATTTCTACTCTACGTGTGTGATTTTCATTATATAGAGTCAAATAATTTTACCCTACGCCATTTTGCAATTGCGCTCGAACCCCATGCAGATTCCTTTTTTTATGTTTTTAAACTTAAATAGTATCATGAATGAATAAATAAGATTTTCTCAATTATTTTTTTTTAAAAAGAATTTTGCTGAACGATATCTATTGAGCCTCGTTTTTTTAGAATGGATTTCGTGATGGAAGATCGGAACATGATAGAGAGGAGCATTGGAGAGGACTTCATCTAGATTTATATCTAATGGATCAAAACTCGTGCTTATGTTATCACTCTTATTTACGAGTCCTTATGCGCCTCTCTTTCTTAAGCTGGGAAATTGAAAAAAATAATTTTTTTTTTGAAAATATATATTTAGAAAGAAAATAAAAAAATTTACGTATGAAATCACAGTATTAAGAGAATTTTCAGTGAATTTCTACTCTACGTGTGTGATTTTCATTATATAGAGTCAAATAATTTTACCCTACGCCATTTTGCAATTGCGCTCGAACCCCATGCAGATTCCTTTTTTTATGTTTTTAAACTTAAATAGTATAATGAATGAATAAATAAGATTTTCTCAATGATTTTTTTTTTTTTTAAAGAATTTTGCTGAACGATATCTATTGAGCCTCGTTTTTTTAGAATGGATTTCGTGATGGAAGATCGGAACATGATAGAGAGGAGCATTGGAGAGGACTTCATCTAGATTTATATCTAATGGATCAAAACTCGTGCTTATGTTATCACTCTTACTTACGAATCCTTATGCGCCTCTCTTTCTTAAGCTAGGAAATTGAAAAAAATAATTTTTTTTTTGAAAATATATATTTAGAAAGAAAATAAAAATATTTACGTATGAAATCATAGTATTAAGAGAATTTTCAGTTGCAAATGAATTTTATCTAAAATTGAATTTTAAAGAAGGATAATTAGCACAAAATGTTTCTATCTTTTGGGCAAAATGTTTATATAATTCATTTTTTGATATTTTTACCCTTATTTTCACTTTTCATTGCCAAAAAGTCATTCCATCCACTTACCGTTAGATGCTTCGTTAATTGAATACAAAAAACCAATTTTCTTCTCAAATATCAAGGGTAAAATAGTCTCAGTTCAGTTAACATATCTTTCCCGCGTTCACAATAATTATTTCATAAGTTACAGTAATGTGAATATGAAAATAATTTATAAAATTATTACATTAAATAAAGAAAAAATGGCATAAAAATATTGTATTTTACAACATTGGCTACTGTGTTGGTAGATTACTGATAAAATTTAGAGGGGTATGCTGGAGAACTTAGAGGGCTGTACATTTGCTTTGGATCATTGATGAATGGTTTTCATTAGGGGTTGTAGAAGAGTGATTTGGTTAGATAAAAGAGTAATGTTATTTATCCACGTTGGGATTACAAACACAGTTTATGTGTCGTTAATGTGACATTAAATGATGTTAATTTCACCTTTCATTTAACCTATCATTTAGAGCCATTTAAATTGTGTTTGTAATTCCATTGAGGATGAATAACATTACTTTAAATAAAATACAATGTAATATTTTTACTTATGGAATAAATATTCTGGAGGTGTTAAATTGGTTGAGACTATTTTATCCTTGATGTTTGTAAAGAAAATTGGCCCTTGTATTGAATTAATGGAGCAACTGACAGTAAGTTAAAAGAAGCATGTTTTTGGTAATGAAATGTGAAAATGTTGTTTTTTTAGTTTCTATTCTTGCAAATGTGCTAATTATTCAGACTTTTTGAATTGAATTAACGGAGCAATCGATGATAAGTGGATGAAATGATTTTTTGACCATGAAAGTTAGAAATAAGAGTGGAAGTACCAAAAAGTTAAAAGATATTTTTGGTACGAATATTTTATGCTAATTACCTTCGAAGAATAAGGCAAAAGAAGAACGAACCTCCTACCCAAAATCACCAGTCACTCGTATCTACAGAAAGAAATAAGCTAAAATTTCCCTAGCAGATAAGATCCACTCCATATGTTCTCAAATTGAAAAACAGCATACTGCACCCCCTCCCTCGCCAGCCCACTCATCCACCATGGCTGGTTTCACCAGCACCTTACATCATCCCTTAAAACTTCAACTCTCCGAACCCCTCAGGCCCCTCTCTTTTCACTCAAACCTCTTCACTCTCCGCCTCCAAGGCCCCGCTACAAGGTGGCTCTCCGTCTCCTCTAAAACCACCGCCGCCACCACCGTTATTTTATCTCGCTATGGCGGAGGAGGTGGGTCCTCCCGAAAGCCAAAGACCAACGATGATCAGGCACTTGATATTTCTTCCATCAGGTAACTACGAGGTTTTTCCTTTCTAAATTGTCATAAAAATACAATATTTAATCTTATTATCACTAAAGAGAGGATTTTTTTGAATTTTACATATGGGTAAGATATTGGTGTTTGTTGTTTTTACAGGTCAGATAAAGTTAGGCTTATTGATCAGCAGCAAAACATGGTTAGTATTTGTACTATTACACAATGTGTATATTTTATATGCACTACTAGTGATGGCATAATGATGCAAAAAATGGGTATTAAATTGGTGTCTCCTGCATTGTGTAGGTAGGAATAGTGTCAAAAGGTGAGGCTTTACGAATGGCTGATAATGCAGAGCTTGACTTGGTATGCTCTCAATTTTAATGTGGAGTTTGTAAAGATTCTTTCTTTTCAATGTTTTTGGATTTTTATTATGTATGGAAGTGGAATAAATATTATGTCAATTATGTTATTACTTACTGCTGTGGTAATGGTTGATTTTGTGGGAGCAATTTTAAGTTAATTGTGTTAATTATTTACACTGATAGCGGATATAGCCCATGTTTGAGCCCCATTATTCAAAATTTATTTTTTTCTCAAACTCATTTTCAACCACACATTCTCCCCAATAAAATAATTTACAAATAAATCCAAACTTTTCTCCACCTTTTAAGTGCACATTCTTCAAAAAAAAAAAAAATTTGTTACAAAACTTATTTTCCCCAAAAATGAGGCTCAAACAAAGCCATAATATTTCATCTTCTGTTCTTTCTTTTTCTTTTTATGAGGGGAAGAGGTTTGGAGAAAGGGGTGGGGTGAGGGGCTCAGACGGCAATTTAAAGACAGGATTGTATTGTTAAAATTTCAACAGTTGGTGTAGATGAAAGTAAAGTATGGGTCAAGTGGGTTAACTATTCTTTCAGATGATGGCTGCCTGTCACACAGACCGTCCTTCAGTATTGGGATTAGTTTCAATATATACTTTAGTTTTCAAGCGCATAGCAAGATCGTGGATTTTTACATATAGAACCCGAAGTATCCTGCCACTGCTGACTGCTTGACCTGTTGTAATGGTTTTTTAATGCACTTAATTTTCAAACTGGAAATAAATTTATATAACAAGTCACATACTTTAGAAATAAGAAAATGTGATTATGTAAACATATATTACGATCTCAATCAGAAGAAAAAATAATTTGTTTCTTATGAAAAGACAAATATTAATTTGTTTAAAAATTGACTTATCCCATGTTTTCTGCTCCAGCAGATTCTAGTGTATGTATCGACATCATGAAACAAGTGTTGCACAAATGGTTGACAACCACCAGAGAATCTGGTGGCTGATTCGTGTCTGACACAACCTTGTTTCCTTCTTGGAAATGCATGTCCTTTTTGGGGAAAATTTTTATATTAATCAGTTCACTCAGTGAAACTTGTGGCTCATTACTTCTAGTATATTTTTTTCCCAGTGTTCTTCTTCATACAAGTCTTTTTCTCTTTATTTTATGAAAAAAAGGAGTGAGTAATTTCAATCCTGGTTTTTTATTTTGAATTATATTCTTAGTCTGGCAATAATTCAATACTTTGCGATTCTGTGCACAATGGAAGAAGCCACTAATTGATGGATCAAATTGATTTTCCATCCTTCTGCCATCACTTGTCCTTTTTAGCATGGACGCTTCACTATATTGACAGTATTCTTCTTTCCTGCAAGAATCCATGAACATCACCTTTATGATGCTTCATTTCTCATCTCTGAGATTTTTTTTTTTTCAGATATTAGTCTTCTCATAAAATTGTAATGCGATACAATATATCCTCTCCTCGTGAATTCAGATTTTGTTTTTACTGATTACATCTTGATGCAAGCTCTGCTGCATTTGTGTACAGTGTAGTGTGTATACTGTACCTTTTGTCACCGGAGATGAGAGTTACCTTTTCTCAATTCTCACACAAGATTAATGTCCATTAATGATGTTTTGCATTTTTCTCACTTTTATCTTTTAGGTGATATTATCTCCGGATGCCGATCCTCCAGTTGTCAGAATAATGGATTACAAGTAAGACATATATGCCTTTTCTATTCTGGTAATTGCCTCAGCAATTTTTGTATTATTAGTAAATTAAAATTGATTAATCTGTAAAACACTGACTATATAATCAGTTAATAGCAGTTTGGATGATATGCGGCTAAGCGCTCCTTAAATTTAGATTACTCAGTGGTTAATTAAAAAATGTTATATATTTCTATCCACATCCAATGTCCTGTATTTATTATCTATTTCTTTGTTACAGTTGCTTAGATTTTGATTTGTTGTTTTTATGACTGCAGTAAATATAGATATGAGTTGCAGAAGAAGAAACGAGATCAGCAGAAGAAAAGTCTTGGTGAGAGTCACTGATTTTCAAACATTGCCATTTGTCTTTATTTCTGACGTTAATCTTAAGATCAGAAAATTACTTGAGTTGACGTGCTGATTTTGATGGCAGCTAGCCGCATGGATTTGAAGGAACTGAAGATGGGGTAAGGTTTATAGTTATGGAATTTATAATTCTAGTTCTCTTACAAAATTGTAAATTTTTTTCCTTTTATTTGCATCCTTCTAGTTTCTCCATATTCAACATGCGAGCTGATTCAGATGGAAATTAGGCTTTTTAAGCTTGAAGTGCAGAACTCCAGCAGTAACTTTTTTATATGTATTTATGTTACTGATTGTTTGGGCCGTTAAAGCACAAGATATCCATGAAATGAACTATTGAAGTTTCTTTCTCACTATCATATTTACAAGTTTCTTGTCTTGGAAATGCTGTTCACTTTACGTACTTCATCCTTGAGCTAGGATGGTTAATCTAAATGCGTCTCCACTTCTATGGATGAGTCTTCTTGTTGTCTGTTGCATAAAGGACTTGTATACAAGCAAAAGAATACTAGATGTTTTTAGCTGTCATAATTGTCTTCTACCGAAGGAATAGATGTAGGATTTACCATCAACAGCAGTATATGTTTATGTTATATTGCTATTATATTGACAATCCACATGTACATGATACAAAGCTATTCACGAGCCATGCGTTATAAATAAAAAAATATCATTCTTTATACCTTGTCCAGTGATACTTGTATCCTATGTACTGATACGGACGTGTCGAACGCACCAACATGTGATTTTTCAAAAAAATACTGATTTGACACATCGTCGACAAGGAGGGCGGGAGATGATCTACTAAACTCCGTTTCTTGGCTTATGCGAAGCAACAGTGACGTGATACATTAATTAAATTGGAAAATAAGTTAATGTTGGGTCCTAAGAATTAAATTAGGCCTCTTGAATTGATCTGCCATGTAATTGTTGCTTAGTATATCATTTCTCTATACAAATATGTATTGTATTATGTCAATAAGCATTTATTGCAAACAAAATTGATGTGCATGATTACTCTATATTATCTTGAAAATTTTACTGCTTTTGATGGCAGTTACAATATCGATGTGCACGATTACTCCGTGCGTTTGAAAGCAGCTAAGAAGTTTCTAAAAGATGGTGATAAGGTTTCTTTCAATTCTTATGGCTTCACATTCCATTACTGATAAATGTACAATTTTTTAATTACATTCATTTCTCCCCATGCTAATGATATTCAGAGGATTTCTGCAGGTAAAGATTATAGTAAGCTTGAAGGGGCGTGAAAATGATTTTAGAAATAATGCCATCGAGCTTATCAGACGGTTTCAGAATGATATTGGGGAGGTAATTTGTACTATATATCTTCACCTTATCAAATGAATGTCACAAGTGAATTGCGTATTTTCTGGGCTATTCTTTTTTTTACTTTGTGACCTTCCATAGTCTTGGTGCTTGTTTCTGAGTTAGATTAAAACTGCACGTGCAAACTGTAGTATTGGGTCTAAAAGAGTTTTATATCTGGGAATTTTTTCCTGTTTCTTCATCTTTCTGTTGATAACTTTCCTTTTTTTCCTAAAAGGCGCGTTAAGACAAGCACAATTCCATTGATGATTTCTATTCTCTTTGGTTCAAGACTTCTCCTTTATTTAATATTGTCCCCTCTAGAAGTGCTCCGCTTCGCTGTGGTACTAACTAGCAGACTACAGAAGCCATTATTTAATCACAATTAGTAACTGATAGTTGTCGGTAATGTTGGTATCTGCATCTCCTTTGGACTTCGCAAAAAAGCTCATTCCTTGATATTAAACCATAATAAGAACTAATCCCCCCATGAATCATTAGTATGTCTTGTTAGAACTTAGCACTTTACTTTCTAAACTCGTTAGCCTAGGAGTGTCTACGAAATACAGTCAGGGCAAACATACCAGCGTGTGGTTTTTCAGAGTAGGACATGGTCATGCAAGGGACACGTCGGTCGTGTTCGATGTGTCGGACACTAACACTTTGCCTTGCTGGCGTATCTGTGCTTCGCTGGGAATGGAGTGGTTACATTCATACTTCATTAATCTACACCTGCACAATAAATATTAAGTTGACATATTTGCTCTATGAGGCTCTCTATTTGTGTTTATGTGTCTCACAAACAAAACCAAGCTTCCAGCCATTCCATCTTTCAGATATAGGTAAGCTTCAGTCAGCACAGACTGCTCCACAAAATCACCTCATCTCTAACCTCTTCACCATAATAATGCAATACAAGCATGCACTCCATGTAATTATGTTTAGGATCAAAACCTGCTTCAGAACCAATAATTTGCTCTCTCTTCACCTCAACCTGACTCCCACTTGTCAGACAATTCACAAATTTTTTGATGGAGGATTGTAAGAATGTTTTTTTCTGCACTATCGTTGAATTGTGGTTTACACGTAAAGCAAAAGCCAAATATGCTATAATTTTATGTCACGTTTAATGAATTTAATTTCATCTCCTTTGATAAAGGCATGCTTGGAGCTTGAATTTCAGAATGTTTCTTTCATCTATACCTAGAAAGGGACAATTAGTATTCCGGTTGATATGTGTGGGAAGCAATAAACTAATAATATTATGAGTTATTCCTTTGTGTTCGCTACTTCTGTGCACATCCTAATGCTTCTTTTTGTTGGATGTCTTTTGTTACTGTCGTGTCTGTACCATCTCTTATTTTTGATCTGCATTTCTTTTTTGACCTTTTCATTTTGTGATGTTCACAGCTTGCCGTTGAGGAGAACAAGAGTTTCCGTGATAGGAACATCTTCATAATATTGGTTCCAAATAAAGCCGTTGCTCAAAAAGCTCAAGAATCGCCAAAGAAGGATAAGTCGACAGCAAGTGAAGTTTCAGCAGGTGTCTAAGGGTGTTAAAAGAAATAGCAGGTAGTATAGACATTTATCTTCTGACTAAACCTGGGATCTGGCTATCAGCCATTGTCTTGTGTAAAGAATAATAGCTGGTCGACATCTTCGGTAACCTCTAATAGAAGCATTATATTTGAAGTTAGCTTTTCTGCTCCCCAGTATACTCACAAGGATACAAAAGGTGTTGGTAAGAAAAACTATTGTAATTTCAGCCACCTGCTTATAAGTGGTGGATTTCCCTCTGTTCTGGTTTCCTCAAGCAATGTATTCATAATTACTTATTTATTAATTCAAATAGAAAATCTATTGCATCAATTGAAAACCATTTTTCTGCAAGAATGATGTAAAAACGAACTTTTACTTATAAGTCGTAGTTTTCAAATAGTATTCATACTTTAGGTCACAAAACATGTTCTTATGGGCTACATGGTGGTTGCAACCAAAGCATTTTCTGTTATTTTGATTATAGGTTTCGCGTCTTAGAAAAAAGAAGTTTTATGATCCATAAATCCACTAACGACGCTGCATATAGTGTAACTTTATTATAGTGTTAGTTACCAAGGAGACAAGATACACTTGGACAAGGAAAACCAGAGCTCAAAAATAAAGATATTTTGAACACAAATTTCGTCAGTATAATAATTCAAATGCATTCAAATAAAGTATTCATCTCTTGTATTATTGCTTTTATGTCAGCTTCAAAAATTACAGTTTATGCTAGCAAATTATACAGACCCATTGAACCAAAAGTTTCTCAAGCTAAGCATCAAATTTACAACAGTAACACATTTGAGTTAGTTAAGAAATACCAAAAAGCAAAAAGAAAAATAAGAACACACTGATCTATTCTCATCAATCATCACTAAAGCAACCTCAAAGTTTCCTATGAAGATGGAATGATATGACAATGGTTTACAACAAGAAACAGCTAATTCAAAAATGGATTAATACTTAAAATTTCAAACAAAATATATCAAATCAACTCTTCTGAATTTATGTAGACGGTATATCATAAATTCATTATAAAGTACATTTAACACAATTTACGATGAATTCATTGCAAAAGTTCAAATTTAACTTCTACTTCTTCAGCACGCAGTCTGCACAACAAGTCTGTCTTCACTCCAAGAGCCTGATTAATCAACTGTATGTCTACTCAAATGGGCCAGTTTTCTGCATACTCTATAGGACTTGTCTTCTGTAAATCATACCTTTGCATTCTTCATAATTCGACTTCAAGGGTTGGGGACCTTGGGGTAAGGGGGTTGGAGAAGGGTGATAGAATAAAATCCATCATGATTTTAATTGATTTCATTATAAGGACAATTCTGTACTTTTACAGCCTTATATATTTGTACAAGGCTAATATTCATATATTTCCAGTATCTGTAACTTCAATATATTTGCATTCCTTAACATTTTTCCATTGATAATACAATAGATTACATGTAAAAAGAATAAAATAATCACTTACAACAAAAAGACTTGCCGATAAATCTTATTTGCTGAGGAGGCAAAAATGTTGTTAGCGTCACGTATACGAAGACTCGTGATTAATTTTATTTGCCAAATTTTGGTGGTTCACCACTGCTCAAGCTGGTCTCAACTGTATCAACTGGGTCCTAAGGCTATGTTCTTCTGCCTGCTTTAGGTAAAACATTATCAAACGAAGCGGCTATTGTATACACAGATCAGAAAATTATGTAAAGAACACAGGATAAAAACTAATTCTTTTTAGTTGTACTTGACCAATAAATTTAGGAAATGGATACTCAAAACACAATAATATATGAAGAAGCTGGTTTTAACATCCAATTTACCTTGAGGATACCTGATGTCAAGTATAGCACAAAAATAATGGAGGGCAATCGAGAAAAACACAAATTTTCCAGGGGACCCAATATAATAATCAATATGCATTTTGTCCTTTTGGTTTGCACTACCCTGTTGCATAAATATCTTGACATACATACAAATCTTCCTTTTTGCTTCATACTAAGTTTCTACAAGTTCCTGAGCCTATAGCCTAATATTTTCACAACATACCGGATTTCCAAGTGTTCAATTGAAAAAGTGACTGTAGTTTGCCTCTCTTCTTTAAACGTGATTTCTTTAAAAGAAAGAATTGAGATAGAGATGGACAGACAGAGACAAAGTTTTTAATATAAGTGATTTATTGATGACGTGATCTTAAGTCCATGGATGGTTACTACGAACTATGCGAAAGGAAAAACACAGAGGAAGAGAAGTACACTTTTTTCATTTTTATATGCATGCTAACTATGAATCCAATTTATTTTTCTGCTTTTCTACTTTAGAAAAATAGGACTATAAATGGAATTCCTATACATAGAGTCCATGTACATCCATTACATAGCAATAACAAGCAATTTCAAGGTGCAATATTGTAGCACTTCCTCACCTGGATAGCCGCCGTGTAAGCCAAAAGAGATTCACATTCATCAAGCATCACTCTCTCTTGTGAAGCTACTACAGCAAGTTCAGAAACCACACTGTTCATTCCCTCCACCTGCATTATATAAAAGAAATCGGATCAAATCATTTGAAGTGAGGTCTTAAAAGTTTAAGGTGAGGCGATATGAAACCCAAGCATGACTATTGGATTGGACATATTTATGAACCAACTTATTGATGCAAGGAAAGTCTACTCTAGGTGTATGAGAAATTAAATCAGTTAGGGTTTATAGTATTGAGTGTTGGACTTGGGTAATATGTGGATTCTAGGGCTTCAGAAAAGTGGGCCGAAATTCTGGTGAGTTTGGAGCAGCACGGTTAACGTCAGGATTTGTGCATTTGAATTTCTCCATTTTTTTTAACTAACTAATAACAACTACTAAAAACAAGGGTCAAACTCCATATTTCAACTGCTTCGGATTTTTTTTTTCTTTTGAATAGCAATAAACTAAAACCAAACAGAAATTTGTTGCCTGAAGATTTGTCTTGAGCTGCTACTGCCTTTTGGTTTATATTTTGTGGTGGTTTTTTGAGGCGGATGATGTGATGTTTATATATGGTTTGGGACTTTGAACGGGCCGATGTGTTTGTGTAGTTTGGAAAGCAGTTGCAATCATCATTCTGTAATCGTAATGCACACACGAAACATTTAGAGTGCCCTAATTGCACTGGATCTATAAATGAACCTATTGGAGTGTAGAATAAATTAAGCCCCTGTTTGACAACCATAATTTAGAAAAACAATGCTTTGAATAGTGATTTTAAGGAGAATGTGTGGTTAAAAAGTAGGAAAAAATTTTAGGTTTACGTGCAATATTTTATTGTGTGAATGTGTGGTTGAAAATAAATGTATAGAAAAAAGGTTTTCAAATAATGGTTGTCAAACAAGGGCTAAATATCATGGACAGAGTATAAAAACAGAAACAATCCCACCTGCAGAAATATGGAGCCCATGGAGGATCCAATTACATGTATCACATCAACTGCTGAGCAAACAGCTGCCTTAATGGCTTCAATGTCCCCCTGCAAAATTGCAGATCAAATTAATCAGTAACTTCAATTGTATAAATTTGAGTCTCAAGGACTTGTGAGAAACCGATATACCTTTGCCCCTTCAGTGACTGGAAGACGGAGAGTGCTAGCTTGAAGATCTTGTATAGCCCAGGATAACACATTAGTATGATCCCTTTCAATAGAAGCCCATTCATCAAGACACGCCAGCTGATCAGGTTGTATGCATTAGAACATTTAGGACATCAATGATCTAAAAATTTAAAATGACTTGTTAAAAATATAGACCCCGTTTCATTCCCATTATTTTCAAAATAATTTCTCTCTTTTTTTCAATCACACATTCTTCAATAAAATAATATTACACGGAAACCCAAAACTTTTCTTTATTTTTTAACCATGCATTCTCCATCAATTTACTATTTCAAAATGCATTCTTAGCCAAAAAATGGGGCTCAAACAAGCGCATAGTTTTACATAAGTATTACAAAGAAATGCATATAAATCAGATGGACGTTTCAGTAGAAAGTTGGCGCTTATTCATTTTTATTGATTTTTTTTTTTTTAATTCACAATTGGAGTGGGGATGAGGATATTCTCATAAAGAACATTGTTTTGGAAGAGAAATTTGCAAAACACTTGCAAAAGCAATTCTAGAAAGCTGTATTCATAAAGTTTTTACAAAGCTAGAATTTGTTTTGAGTCATTGCGAAACACATGGTTATTGATATACCATAAATGTCTATCCCATTGGCTCCAGGATTTCATCAAATTGAATGTTTTGAAAGCTCTATTAGTCACAATTAGTATGTCAAGGATCAGCAATGAGAAATATCTGAAAGAATGTAAGACAACTTCAACTAAATAGATCAGTTGAAGATCCAAATGCACAATGCTCATAGATGGACCAAAACCTGTGCAACTTACAAGTTACAAACACCATCCTAAATGAGCTTTATGGTCAGCAGTCTTTCAAAACCAAGCCAGTACATGGCTTTTGAATAAGATCTATTAATATTTCTTAGGATAAGCTGACAGCAGATATTTACGGAAGATTTAACGTTGACACTAAATTTTGCACAGTTAACAAGTTCAGTTGGAGTTAGACAATAACTCCCATGTTTCAAAGAGTAACTGTCACTAAGGAGAAAAGAATCTTTTGCACATATTAACTACAATGTTGAAGTTCTACAAGAAACTTCCAGGTCAGTCATCTTTCATGCTTGAGACCGTGAATCGAATTTATTTGGAAATAAGGATCAGTTTGTTGATTCTGCTGTTATATCAAATATAAAAGACAACTACAGAACATAATACACTCAGAAAATACTATAATTCACTTTCGATTGACACTATTTTAATTAAATTGAGCATTTAGTAGTAAGAGAGCTATTACTTGGTTGTCGAAAACTGTATAGAGCTTCAACTTATGTCTCAGCTGCTGGTGCTCAATCCTTTTACCAATCACTGATTTCCATAGACATACAGTTGCTCTCCAAACATTGTACAGCAATTTCTGCAAATCAATAATTGGTAGTTACAATAAAATACAGGTGAATTTAATGCAAGAGGCACCGAAATCTGAATTTACAACTAAAATCCAATTCCAACCATAGGAAGCAGGGCCATAATTGAGGGGTTTACTCACGTCCATCTAATTCTCAGGAGATTGATTAGAATTGCGTTTTTCAATAATGATTAAATTATCTAATCAATATCGCTAAGTGCTCAACCATTACAAAGCTTTTACCAGCTCACTAGTCATGGTATTCACCAGATAAATCTCAAAGGGTTCATTCTCCAAGGCAAAACAACAGCGGTTTCTACACCATTTTGTTCATTTTATAGCCACATATTCAGAACTTAGTTTTCAGAACACAAAAAGCAAACAAACAAGCACAAAAAGAAAACAACAGAAATACAGACATATATTAAAAATTTAAAAGGTAGATGAAAGCTCCACAGATATAATGTCTCAAACCTCTGCTTTTATTTTCTGAGAATGCAGAGCAGAATTTGCCCTGGCATTGGCATATCGCCATTGTAAGAGTCGATTGTATAGCAACCGCAAATTATGAACATCTTCGATGTGATTTACAGCCTTCTTCCCTCTCTTAATATCCACAATAAAACTAAGGACAGAAGTTGAACTCTGGGCTTGCCTTGATGGACTGGATGGTCTTACCCGAGCAGGACTAGGTCCTCTAGAAGAAGGATTGACAACCTTTGCTCCAGATGGAATAACTCTAGACAAAGAGGGTGATGCAGGACGTGATCCAGGAGTTGGCAAAGATTGATATCTAACAACAGAATTTCCAAATGTTTCTCTATTCAACGAGGTTGAAGAAACAATCTTTTGTTTTAGCAGTGAACTATCAACAACTGAACAACCGCCCAACATAGTTTTCTCACTTATGTCACCACGAGATACACATCTTAACGAAGCACTAGTTTCTGAAAAAGGTTTAATCGCCCCATCCGAAGATGATCTCCTCGGGGAAGGTGAACTAGCTCGTGAGTGGGATAAAGATGTTCTATTGGTCTTTTCGGGGAGATCAGAATTTCTGTCTAAAGCATTAGAGGACAATTTTCCACCTGTTCGGCTTGGCCATCGATGCTGATCCACTCGTCGAGTATGTAAAACATCAATTGGTCTGGAATTCTCTGAATGATCAGTAGAATTCTTTCCTTTAACTGGGCTCCTCTTCCTCTCTGGTGTAGGCTTCCTTGAAGCCGGTGGTGATTTGCCCTGTTTATGCACTACATTCACTGATGACTTCAAAGTGCTATCAGAAAGACCATGAGACGATGGTTTTTCTCTCTTACTAATAGGGAGAGAAAAGGTATCAGATTGGAAAGAAACGCTGAGACTCCGCATTGTAGAGGGCCATAAAGACTCCGGTAACTTATTTGCTATTATTTTTCTTGATGCCAAAAGCATTCCTGCAGTTGTATCCTGGACTGGGGTTGATGAACGTGGACTTCGAGGAGATGGAGTGGTAGGACACTTTCTGTCAGCTGATGCCGACCTCTTATTTGCTGACACAATTGACGATGTTGATGTTCTAGCAGCATTTGGAGAAGGGCAACGCCTTGGACAAGAGGCTGCAGATGAAGTAGGTGACCTATACCTAGAACTAACTTCTCTGGTTTGGGACTGTCGAGTGGTTCCAATTTTATTGTCAGCATTCATCAATGGTTTTCTTGCAGAATCCACGGTGGAGTGCTTCTGTAATGCTACCCTTGATTCACATACATCCATCCAAACTGTGCAGATTAAACCACATCGATATCCATCATCACATGTTAATGATCAACACACTTTTCGACAGGCTTTTACGAAACCAACTATTAATCTACTATTAACCACAACAATTGCTCTAAAAGGAGACCCTTTCCTCAGACAAAAATCTGCCATACAAATTTAAATCCAAAAGTAAGATACCCAGGACAGAGAACTAAAGAAAATAAAAGAACAACGCTTGACGAAAAAGTAAAGGATATCAAAAGAATACATCTTTACAGGTTTCCAGATCTGCACCATATTGAATATGATTACTTCAACCAACAAATGCAAATGGGTTTTCCATACTTATCTAAAATGGCTTTAATTCTGTCAAATCACCCCCACGAAAAGATAGTAAAATGTGGAACGTCAAACGAAGAAAAATTGAATTATGGCTGGAGGAATTTACTTATTCACTTCCTTGGAAATGGAGAAGGGGAAGAATAGAGGAAGTGAATAGGGATGTGGGAATAGAGTAAAGAGGGGCGTGTAGTATAAAAATGCCTCTTTCTTGTTTGTTTCTCTTCTTTTTTTTCTTTTTGTATATTAATTTCTTGTATCCTCTCTTATTTTTGGTCCCTTAACCTTTCTGTCCCTCTCACAGGAGAGCCATGGCTCTCAGGGCCGAAGCTACACACACTCAGCAAAACTCAGAATGTGAACCTTATTGGCCTGTTCCCTCTTTCCCCCAGCCACCTCATTTTCATGAAAGGGAACTCAATGAAAGTGCCAACCCCACTTCCCCTACCCCAATCCCCACAGGGGGGGGGGGGGGGGGGG